CCACTACCCTCAATTTGTGTTGTTAGATCCTTATAGGGAGAGTCACTTGCTGATATACTGTTAGCGTTGCCAATGGTAACACCTTATACTTAAGACAGGAATTTTCAGGTGGCTGGTTTTCTCACTTCAAGGAGTGTTAATTTGTTGGAGGCTGGACTTGCAACAGCATGATGGACATAAATTCCACTTCAGAGTTGCCAGCAAATCTCTGCTAGAGACAAATGCAGAGACTTGGAGTTGGCAATAAATGCTTAAGGTAGGTGACCAGTGATTTGCTTCTCAGGGCCGGCAATCATGACAACTTTGCAGGTGAGAACGTCAGTCAGAATGAGATAGTGCTTGGGTTTGCAGCTCTGGCTGACTTCCACAGTTGCAGCACTGCCAAACTGGCAGGGTAGCTGGCTTCAACCTACTGCAATTAACTGCAGTGAGCATCTCCCTCAGGATAGACAGGTTTGAAATTTCAATGTCCAGGGACAGTCTGATAGCTTACAGCTGCAAAGAGTTAATCGATGGACAATTCTCCAAAGTAATGAAAATAAAATCTCAGAACCAGTATTGTGAGCAATATTCACAACGTGAGGTTTCAGTTTTGCCTATCATTTCTTTAGTACCCTCATTTGCCATTATGCTCTCACCTTGTTTTCACTGGTCAGTTCTGCAAAGCTCACAAATATTCCAAATACTTGTGAAAATCACTTTTCATGAGGGATTGACATATTGAAATTGCCAGCTTTCATCTTTCATGGGAGTTACACTCACACATGGTCTAATGACTCATGGTTAAAATATAATAAATTGGTGTGAGTTAGCAAGCTTCTTGATGCACTATCAGGTTGGATTTACAAATCCCACCAGGGCTGAGGGTTGAAGGTAGGTAGGGGCAAAAATATAGCTCAGGTTCACTGCCTCTTGTCTATTTTTTAAAGATAAATTTAATTAACCTGTTCAGATGTGTATGATACATCTCTGGGGCAGATGGCACTTGAACCCAGGTTTTCTAGGCTCAAACATTATCACCTGGGCTATTTTTACTAGAAACTGGATCAGTGTCAACAGGTAGTCAATTAGCCTTATTAAGTGCCTAATTAAGCCCAGTTAAATGAGGCTGACTAGAATTTTTCAATTAATTTCTGGTTTTGCATACCAGCAGGGGCCAGTTTAGGTGCCCGAACCAGGCATACAACTGCAGGCAGGCTGACCGGTCCTCAATGCCTACCCAGATGTAAACAGCAACCACATGACATTCTGTAACCACAGAGATCTTACCCCTGGTCCCCATAACGAAAACCCTAGGACTTAATTTTAACACTTTTAAGCCAGAACCTCTTCTGGAACTCGAGATCCTGAAAATAAAAATCCCTCCAATTACCTCTCCACAAAGCTAACTCACCCACTGAACTAGAGTCAGAGTTTTCTATTTCTTCTGTGTAAAACCACAGATGTTTTTAATTAACCTGTTCAGATATGTTATCACATTACACTGAAGCAGGTAGGACTTGAACCCACGCTTCCTGGCCTCGATGTAGGGACATTACCACTGTGCCACAAGACCATGCTTATTTGAACAATTGCACGTGTTAACCCTTACTAATTTGTGTACATGCAGATTCAACACAAGTCCTTAATTCTGGAATGAAAGATACTAATGTTGGGAATGCATTATGAGGCTAATCGTTATAGAAAACAGCAAGACACATTACAGTAGTGAGTTCGACCCTTCATCATTACTGGAAGATCTTTAGTCCACATTTCAGTGAATGTAGTCAGACATAACAATTACTAGCACATGAATGAGCAGGCAATAATGTGGTAAAATTGGCCTATTTGTTGTTTGTCACAAATTTAATCAGTAAGTATTGAAAAAAGATGTTCAAGTCAAGGTCAATTGCACACTTTTACTCAATGGGGTACAAAGAGGCTATCTGAATTAATACTTCCAAATATGCAAAATAGTACACAGATTGACGGTTCTGAAAGGCAAGATTAAGACAAACACCAGTAAGTACTTTTATTACACAGAGCAATCAATAGTTAAGTGAGCTATTAGAAATGGCTAGGAGGAAAAGATATTGGGATTGTTTAAGAAGGGACGAAGTGCTCCAATGTGGCAATATTGGGGGAGAATTTTGGAAGGCAGAGGCCAAATGGACTAAAGGGTCTCCTCCGTTCAGATGGGCATTTCCCTAATAGGGATTCTTGAACTTTATCTCTGGGCCAGGGCGCACTATGCAATACAAAAGCCACATACACAAACAGATATTTCATACTTTAGATCTCATTTTTGTGAATGTATACTGGTTGTGGTGAAGCTGTGTATGCTGAGTTTGTTCGATGTTGGTGGAATAGGCATTGAGAAAAAACTTATACCTGACCAAAGAACTGCATTTTTGGAAGGCAAGATGGGAAGACCCACAGAATTTTGCCAAGAATCTGAAATTTCTTGAGGCCAATCACATTATTTCTATGATTGTAAAAGTGTCTGCTACATTCCATCATTTAGACATATTAGAGATACTATCTTTGACAACTGCTGGTCTTTATTCAAGCATTGCCTTGATGATAAGATCCAGGGAAAATACATCTTTGAACAGGATAATGATGTAATTAAAGGCCAGAACAAGTATTACCTAATATAGCATACAGTCAAAGAAAAGAAAAAAAAAGGACATTGCAATCAATTTGCCTCTACAATCAGGTAGACGGGTTTGGTCAGCTGCTTTGAAACTTTATCAGGTGATCTGTTGATGAATTGACCGACTCAGACAGACCTTAGTTTATAGGACTTATAATCAATGTCATTGTGAATATCTCCTGTTGCTTTACAGTGTGATAAATGTGTACGATAAAAGTGGAGTGGTATCTAAGTTGTTATGTGACATTGATATCTGGACCAGAACTTTTAGGCTCAAGAGGGGGTTTTACAATTATTGGAAGCTCCATTGATTAACTGCATATAAGTAAGGTGAGTCGGGGAAAGGGGAAAAAGTGGAAAAGAAAACTCCAACTGAATAAGAAAAGTCCCTATAATTTAAACATTCGTGAAGCCCTGGAAATAGTGCAACTTAGGAATTTTCAGACTTTTTTTCATAAATAAGCAATGTCCAATGTGAAACAGGTTTGCAACCATTCCAAATAATTTATTTTATTTGACATATTCAGCAAACATCCAACTGAAGGAAAATATAATTATTACTTGCATTGAAGCTAAAGTGTCAGGACCCTTTACATGACATAGTTTACAAGATTTCACTGAATCAAATAAGAACAAAGAGCAATACAGCTCAGGAACAGGCCCTTTGGACCATCAAGTATGCACAGATACACAGCACCTTTCTAAGCTAAAGACCTTTTGTCTCACGTGGTACGTTTCTCTCTATTCCCTACCAGTCTGTATAAAAAACACTTGCCTCTCACAACTGCATTAAATTTTCCCTCTTTCACCTTAAACCCATATTCCCTAGTAGTTGAGATTTCTATCCCGCCTTTCAATTTTGTAAACTTCTATCAGGTTGCCCTTCAGCCCCTGATGTTTCAAGTGAAAACAAACCAAGTTTGATCTTAACTCTCCTCATAGTTAATACCCTCCAAACTAGACAACATCCTGATAAACCATTTCTGCACCCACTCCAAAGCATCCACATCTTTCTGGTAATGTAGCAATCAGAACTGTACATAATATTCCAAATGTGGGTCACTAAAGTTCTCTACAGCTACAACATGATTTACCAATTTTTCTACCCTATTCCATGAATGATGAAGGCAAGAATACCATATGCCTTCTTGACCACCTTATCCACTTGGACTCCCACTTTCAGGGAACTGTGGACCTGTACACCTAGATCTCCCTGTATGTTAATGAATCTAAGGTTTCCGCAGTTTACTGTTTACTTCTCCCTTACATTAGACCGTTCAAAATGCATCACCAGATTAAATTCCATCTGCCATTTCTCCGCCCAAGTCTCCAGCCTATCTGTATCCTCTGGCAATCCTCCTCACTAACCACAGCTCCCCCAATATTTGTGTCATCCACAAACAAACTGACCAGACCACCTACATTCTCCTCCAAATCATTTATATATTTATTTACACACACACACACACACACACACACACACACACACACACACACACACACACACACGTATATATACACACACAAACAATAAGGGTCCCAGCACTGATACTTGCAAAACACCACTCCACTCATCAGAGATCGCTAGTCAGAAAAACATCCTTCCACCACTAGTCCATCATTTATGACCAAGCCAGTTCTGTATCAATCATACCAACTCACCATGGATCTCATGTGGCTTCACCTTCTTGATCAGCCTGCCATGAGGCCTTGTTAAAGCCTACATGCACAACATCCACCATCCTATCCTCAATCATCCTTGTCACTTCCTGAAAAATCTCAATCAAGTTTGTGAGACACGACCTGCCCCGCACAAAGCTACGCTGCGTATCACTAATAAGCCACAGATTAGGAATAAAAACACAAATCCTTGGCTGTAAATTGTTGCACATCGAGTTAAACAGATCACTAAATGACTGGGAAATCAATTTTTACCTGAATGAGAAAAGATGAAATAATTCAACAGTGAAGTAAAAATTGAGATTTTCCACCATCATTGTATGTATAAGTAATACAAAGGATGATAAATTCAACTATTGAGATAAACAACTTATACAAGACATCAATAGGCACATTACATATAATCCTACTACCACGTCCTTAATGGAATTAATCAAAAGCAATGTTTGAAATCCTTTTCCGGTACAGGTAAGGTGCAGTAGTTTTAACCTGCAACCATTTGGAAATTCCACTCATTTATTACTGCATAGCATCTATTCGAAATATTGGCTGAGGTTCAGTGGTTTAGGCCAGATGTGGATTGACATATTCAGATATTGATGTATGTTCAATCTAATCTGAGTATCACAAAGCATGCTTGAAAACTTTAAACAAAATAAAAGTACAAAAACAAACATGCTTTTAGGCCACTGATCACTCTGTGCTGTTTATGTCCCAGAACTCCAAGTAATTAAGCGCTATGTCATAGCAGAAGCGGTATTGTTTCTGAAAAATAAAAAAACAAAGATACAAGTTTAGTTCTAGATCTACTTTCACTATCTAAAATTTCCCCTTTCAACTTTCTTTTTTGGTCTTGCTAATTTCCCAGTTCTCTTCCTGTCTACTAAATGCCTTACTTTATTCTTGCTGTACATTTCCAGTGTCATTTGTCATTTTCTGGCACCAAGCTTGACTGGCCATTTTTCACAAGTGAACAGAACAGTGAAGGTGAGCAGGACATCAAATTATCTCAATTTTAGCTTCACCTGATGTCCACATGCACAAACATTTAAAAGATATTTGAAGAGTCACACTGGACTTGAAACATTAACTCTCTTTCTCTCTCCACAGATGTTGCCAGACCTGCTAAGGTTCTCCAGTACTTTCTGTTTTTGTTTTATCTTATAAATAGAAACTCTTAGTTGAAGTTAATCAGTTATTTTGGAGGGAGTGTTGAACAGTTATGCCTTTCAACAAATATCTCAAAATACTCAGCTGCCAGTGAGTAAAACCTAAGTGATTGCAGCATACAGCACATCTTCTGTACATAGAAAACCAAACCAGCATGTTTCTTTAGAAACAGCAATTGGGAACAATTCATCACAAAACTTATTCTTCTTATTCTACCTGTGATGTTTCAAATAATGATGAAATAAGATTTACTGTTAATTACTAATTCTATATTATAATTATCATAGAAAGCATTCTGTTGTGGCTCCAAATAAATTTAACTATAATAGCTATGTGCTTATTGTTACAGTCATTTAATATTCAACAGGTGTTCTTCTTTAAGGTAAAACACTTGCAGGATACACCTTATAATTTCTCATTCAGTGTAGGCTGTGCATCAGTGGCAATATAATGTTATGATGGACATCAGCCAATAGTTTTGAACAGGGAAGGTATAAATAAAATAAACAGCCTGAGCCTTAAACTCTGATCATGATTTATTGCTAATTGGTCCAGAGACAGAGTTGTCTTACTTGTAGCTCAATGAATAGAATGTTCAACTGCCTCACTCCAAAGACTTGCTTAGATGATCTAGGCTGATAGTCGCACGAAGTGTGAAGAATGCAGTAATGTAGAGCTGCTACTTTCATATGAGACATGTCTATCTTTTCTGGGGAAATGTCAAAGATTCTAAGGCTCTACTTAAAAAAAAAAAGCACCAGAGTTTTCCCTAGTGTCCTAGCCAGTATTTGTCCCTTAAACAGTGTCACAAAAACAGATAAGAACTGCAGATGCTGTGAATCAAAAACAAAATTGCTGGAAAAGCTCAGCAGGTCCAGCAGCGTCTGCGAAGGGAAAAACAGAGTTAATATTTCGGGTCTGGTGACCCTTCCTCAGAACTGATGGTGGCTGGGAAAATGTCAGTTTATATGCAGAAAATAGGGAGGTGGGTGGGGTAGGGAGTAAATGATAGGATAGAACCTAAACAGAGAGAACAGCAGTTGGCTAGGCAAAGTGTTGATAACGATTAGGCTGGGAGGGTGAATAGTTGTTAATGGGGACTATTAGTGACTAACAACAGGGGGTGTGTAGTGGCAGGCTATGTGGTAACAAGGCCTGGTGTGTGGGGTAGGGGGCTGGGACATGGGAAGAGTTTAGGCTCTAAAATTATTGAACTCAATGTTGAGTCCGGAGGGCTGTAGGGTCCCCAGGCGTGTGGTATTGTTCTTCCAGCTTGCGTTGAGGTTCGCTGGAACACTGCAGCAAGCCAGAGACAGAGATGTTGGCCAGGGAACAGGGTGGTGCATTGAAGTGGTAGGCAACGGGTAGTTCAGAGTCTTTTCTGTGAGCAGAACGTAGATGTTCTGTGAAGCGGTCACCCACTTTCATTTCTTCACTTGGAGACCAGATTGTGAGCAGCTAATGCAGTAGACTAGATTCTGGGAAGTGCAGGTTACAGGGGAAGGTGCTGGTGGGGGGTGGGGGGAGGGGGGATGTTGGGGTGTTGGGGGTGAAGGAAGTGTGGACCAGGGTGTCCCAGAAGGAACAGTCCCTGCGGAAGGCTGACAAGGGAGGGGAGGGGAATATGTGTCTGGTGGTGACATCTTACTGAAGGTGGCGGAAATGGCATCACAAGAACAGATAATCTGTTCTTTTTATATTGCTGTGTACAGAACCTTGAAATAGACAAATTGGCCCCTGTATTTCCCACATTACAGCAGAAACTGCAGCACAAAAGTACTTTATTTGGAGTATCATGCAGTCAAAAAATGCTATTTGTAAATATGTAAATTCTAAATGTCATGGATGAAAATTGCTGAGCTTTGGTGTTTTGTAAACTATGACGCCGACGGGTTAAGTGATTTCTTATACACTAAATTGATTTACAAATGTCAATGAATAGCTGTGAGAGATCAACAAACCTGGACTGTATGAAGCCTTTGCAGAGAGTATGAAAATTTAAGCATTTACAATGTGTTTTTTTGATCAAAAACTAGAATTCAATGTCTAATTTTGAAAGACAGAATTGAATTTTAGTTGTCAATATAATCTCACACTAATCTAGCCATCCTAATTTTTGAAAGTTTCAATTAACCCAATATCACCAGATTTTTAAGAGGCAATAATTGCAGTTTGTTTATATTGTGCATCTTTGAATGTCGGATGCATATAGAGAACACACATACACACACCATTTCACAAAACTACAACAGTTGCTCAAAGCACTTCACATTCAAAGGTTGCAGTCCCATCAGATACTTCAATTCATAATGGTGTAAATCTAATCATGTTTCCGTGAAAATTTGGTTCATGGATCTTGGAAGCCACTTCTGGTTTGACCTGCACAGCCCCCACTCACCAGGGATTCAACCATGTTTGGTTGGTTGTTGCGTAAAGTCTGCACTGCATGGAAAACATCCACCACCTTTTGGTATTTGATCATCTCCATGACGGAAATAGAGGCACAGAGTATTCCACTGTGCCCTCCTCCATTCCTAAAAGAAGACAGTCAAAGATTAAACAGGCTTAAACAGATTAAAATTCCTACCCATTACCAGCATTATTTGTTCATATGTACAGTTAGACAAATTTACAGCCACCAGGAATGAAGCATTTGTGAGGCATTGACAGAAGTGATACATTGAATTTGCAGCCTTGCCTGGGCAACAAATTGATATGGGCAGTACTAGAAGTTACTCTCTTAGTGCCAAGGAACTGGCATGTCAGCTATCTCAACACACTTCCTCCACCTTGGGCAATTTTCCTAGAGACAAAAAGAGGTGAAGTGACAAGCCTACCCACCTGACTACAGCAGGTAACCAATAAAAATAATTAGCAGCCTCATAAGGCCCACTGAATTAAGCTGATAGGTTCCAGTAAGTAGGGTTAGTTTAGCTACTGAAAGTAGTTTCCCAGCAGCTGACCGTGTAGGTCAGCACTCCAGGCAGGCCTACAGGCTCACCCTGCCTGCCTAGGTGCAGCAGTAACCACTGCAGTGGGGCTTCCCAATCACCCCAGCTATACACACCTGTCCCCTGCTGTGAGGGCTTGACAACAAAAACTATTTTTTAATTTCAAATTTAACATGTTGAAGAGACCTTCACTCATTTCTCTTCTATAGCATGCATGCAGCTGCTTTCAAGCTGGAAGGCTTCTGTTGATCCACCAACCTTAACTGGATAGTGAGTCTGGCCTTTAATTGGCTGTATGGAAAATCACAATGAATGGCTGTTTCCTGCACAGTTGCTAACTGCCTTTTGAGCCTGTCAGTGTGATTCAGGAAAATGCAGAGGAAGCCTGTTACTATTACTATTCCAGGAGTCTGGTATTCCTCCTTTTTTTCTCTTTCTTCCAAAACAGAACTTTGAACTACTTCTCTGGTATCCAGTCAGACGATTAATGAAAAATATCATAGGGAAGCAAAGGTGACTTTAAAAAACAATTAAGATGAGTTTTTAATATGAAATCTTCAAATGTGAGCTTTGAAAACTGTGTTCAGATACAGTGCTAGAACCTGATGAGCCAAAGTCTGGCAAAAACAAATTGACAAAAAGGAAAACAGAAAAAAGGGAAAGTTTTTGGAGGTTTTACTTCCTACAGTTTGTGAATATTAAAAGGGACAAGCTAGTATAGATGTTCGAAGGGAGTTTGTTGTGACAAATATTTAACATACCTACTTGTGTAAATATTGTACATTATCAAGAGTCTATTTAACAAATAGAAGTTGCCTTAATTTATTCTTTTCAATTTCTTCACTGTTGCAATTGACTTGCAACAGGTCAGTCCAAATCAAAATATTGTCCATAGCTGCTATTAACTGGACTCTTTATCTATCAATCAGGTATACGTTCACAGGCAAAAAACAAATGGTCTTGACACTTTGCTCACATAATGTGGGATAAAATAGACTATCCAAATATTAAATATCAGTCATTTGTTCACAAGACAATTTGTAGAGAGTTTGAATAGTTGACTGAGGACTTAGTCTTTTGGTTGAATGGTTGTTGCTCCATCAATAAACATGCAAAGTTAACCTTTGGACATCTCAGTCATTAACCTGTACAGTCATCTATTTCAAATATGAGAAATGACCAATAGCTAAATTACTCACAAACAGTGAATGACAATTCGTCCATCACCACATTTTGCCTGCCATTGTTCAATTTTCCTCAGTAGGTTTAAGAATGATTTCTTGCATTTGGGTACACCACTGTTTGTAGGCCACTGAAGGTATTGGAAATGTTTCACTCTCAGATATTTTTTCTGTAACAGAGACAATATGAATAATTAGTGTTAAAAGAAACTCTTGAGTTTCAATTTAACGTCAAGCTGTAATTATGTGTTTTTACAGCAGCTGAAATAATAACCCTCTTCTAAGACTCGTGCTCCAAACCTTGCTGCTCCCCTAGCCATACTCTCCCAGTATAATTCCAACAGTGGCATTGACCTGACAATGTGGAAAATTGCCAGCACTGTACACAAAAAGCAGCACAAATCCAACTCTGTCAATTACTGCCCATCAATTTACCCTCAATCATGAGTAAATTTAAGGAAAATCAGGCAGCACCCATTTAGTAATAACCCGTACAGATTGGGTTCCATCAAGGCCACTCAGCTCCTGACCATGTGACAGCCTTGGTTCAAATATGGACAAAAGAGCTGAATTCCAGTGGTGAAATGAGAGCAACAGCCCTTGACATTAAGGCTGTATTGACTGAGTGTGGAATCAAGGAGCAAACTCTCCACTGGTTGAAGTCATACCCTGCACATAGGAAGACAGTTGTGGGTGCTGGAGGTCAGTCATCTCAACTCTAGCACATCTCTGCAAGAATTAATTAGGGTAATGTCCTGGGCCCAACCATCTTCAACTGCTTTATCAATGACTTTCTGGCCATGATAAGGTCAGAAGTGGGGATGTTCACCAATGATTGCACAATGTTCACCATTTGTAACTCCTCAGATACTGAAGCAGGCCATGTTCAAACGTAACAAGATCTGGACAATTTCCAGGATAGGGCTGGCAAATGGCAAATAAGTTTCATGGCATACAGTGCCAGGCAATGACCATCTCCAATAGAGACAATCTAACCATTACTCCTTGACATTCACTCATGTTAACATCACTGAATCCCCACTATCAACATTCTAAGGGTTACCATGGACCAGAAACTCAACTTGATTTGCCACATACACACAGTGGCTACAAGAGCAGGTCAGAGGCTAGGAATACTGTGGCGAGTAACTCACCTCCTGACTCCCCAGATTCTGTCCACCAGAACTCTCCTCATGTGTCTGGATGGGTGCAGCTCCAGCAACACTTAGGAAGCTCAACACCATCCAACACAAAGCAGCCTGCTTTATTGAGACCACATCCACTAGCATCCACTCCCTGCACTAACGACACTCAGTAGCAGCAGTGTGTATTATCTACAGGATATGCCATGGAAATTCACCAAAAATCCTCAAATAGCACCTTCCAAACCAATGGCCATTTCCATTTAGAAGGACAAAGGCAGAAGATATACAGGAACACCACCACCCTGTAAAACCCCCTCCAAGCTACTCATCATCCTGGCTTGGAAATATATCACTGTTCCTGGAGCAAAATACTGGAATTTCTTCCCAAAGTGCATTGTGGGTCTATCTAAAGTATGTAGACTGCACCAAGCCTGAAGGCAGCTCACCATCATCTTCTCGAGGGTAGCTAGGGATGGGCAATAAATGTTGGCTAGCCAGCCACATCCTATGAGTAAATTTTTAAAAAAATGCTAGGGATTGGATTTGACATGAGTGAATTTTGAATTTTTTACTTTTTTTTTTAATATACCAAATTTAATATGACTACATTCTACTGTATGATTGTCCTGTTGGCAGCATAAGAAGTTACTGCCAGGTTTCCAACCTTCCTACATTCTCAAGAAATAGTGGTAGCTCTGTCACTAGGAAACAGATAAGCCAGTTGCACATGTGAGTGAATTCCCAAAATCATAGTTGAATTTTCCCTTTATTCATATATTTGTTGCACAGAATGCCACAGTAATATCAATTAGATTCTTGCTTTGTAAGATACAAGGTGACCTCAATGTCAGAATTGCTTGAGATCTCTTCTCCGTCCTCAATCTCTTGCTCTCCCTCTAATCTTTCACCACACAGCCTGGAGTCTACTCTTGATATGACACGACTTCTGACGTACTTTTCTGTGACTAAATTAGCATTTCACTCACAGTAGGTTTTATTACACATTAAGTGCGCAGTAAGAGCTCATTAAAACTTGGAATGTCAATCTATTCTGGTATTGCAGTCTAACTTCACATTTCTGAACAGTAGACTTTCATATATCATAGACAAAATCCACAGGATCCATTAAGATCCCACATGAATTTGAGATCTTGTTACAAAAGCCAAGACATTTAATTCAGAATTTTACTTTTTCAATACTTCACCTCTGTTTTTCCCATCCACTGATACAAAGGTTGATTTTGTTCCAACAGTGTTTTATTTGTTTTGTTTCATTCTGTCGACAGGATTTTTGCAATGGTCCTTCAACATAAGTTTTTGTTCTGTTCATTTCAACTGACTAAAAAATGATTTTTTGACAATTTTTCCCAAGAAGAATATTTAATCATCTTGGGTGCCATAACCTGCTGAAGCAGTGTCCTGTAAATCAAGACCCAATATTCACATAAGGACATTTTTAAAAAAATAATAAAGATATGCATAGTGCCTCAAATTTACTTGACTCTCTGTTCAAGGTGCACAGAAAGCATAGACCACATTTATACTCAAAAAGAATTTTCTTGTAAATAATTAATTAGACTACAGCTACAAAGTAAACAGATGTAAACCATTGGATTATTACACTTTAACTAAAACTCTAATCCTATCAAAAATTCTCCTTAGACAAACACAAAAAAAGGGGAAAATAGATTATTGGTGGAGGTAGAAAAACTGGAATTAAGTTCAGTGGCTTATTAAGTTCAGTTCAGTTCACGTGTAAATATGTCTGACTTATCAATTCAAAGGTCACAGCTCACATCAACTGCTGCAGAGAAGGTAATGGATTTTCTTCAAACTTAAACTAAGTTGATTTTAAACTACAGAAAACAGGCAGTTTCTGCTAGGGAGAACAATTGCAAATACTTGCATGTCTTTTTCTCTCTCCCTCTGTGTTTCTGTAACTTGCTTCCAGTGCCAACTTGTTCAGTTAGCAGAGAACTAATTACCTCCACTCATAAACTCCTCAGCTTCTGCTTGTCCGTACACTGCAGAAACCCGCAGTCATAAGAAAACAGAGTTTGCAATAGGTACTGAATTCCTTGCTGTGAAATTATGCAATCATCCTGTTTGAGCCTGCATTTTCTGCCCAGTTGCCCTTGAGAATGTGGTGATGAGCTGCCTTTTTAAATCACTGCAGTCCATTTGGTGTAGGTGGATCCTCAATGCCATTCCAGGAACTCGATCCATTGACATTAAAAAAAACTGTGATACATTTCCAAGTCAGGATAGTAAGTGGCTTGGGGGAGATTGCAGATGACTGTGTTGCCGCACTCTTTTCCTTCTAGATGATAATGATTATGAGTTTGGAAGGTGCTGTTTAAATGGCCTTGGTGAATTTCTGCAGTGCATCTTGTAGGTAGTGCACACTGTTGCTACTAAGCATTGGTGATAGAGGGACTGAATATTTGTGGATGTGGGGCCAGTCAAATGGGATGCCTTTTCCTTGACAGTGTAAAGATTTTTGAATATTTTTGGAACTGCAGTCATCCAGGTAGGTGGGAAGTAATGCATCATACTCCTAATTTATGAGTTGTAGATAGTAGACATGTTTTGGGGAGTCAGGAGTTGGCCTACGCACTGCAGGATTCCTAATCACTGACACACTCTTTTAGCCATTGTGTTTATGTAGCTAGTCCAGTTCAGTTTCTGGTCAATAGAAGATATTGATCATTTGGGATTCAATTATGGTGATCCCTGGTGAATGACAAGGGGCAATGGTTAGATTCTCTCTTGTTGGAGATGGCCATTGTATAGGATGGGAAAATAGGCTGGGAAAGTTAATGATGATATTCGACAGCTGCATGACCTTGAGTAAGTCCTGTGAACATTCCTTCACGGGCTGAAGACGGCACCAGCAACTTGTTGTTCTGTAGCTGTTTTCTGTACTAGCTGTTTGTTACACTGTAGAAGAGAGAGAGAGTGTCATTCCGAGATTTGGATTTCATCTCGGACCAGGATTGTGAATGGTGCCAGGAACGAATCTAAGATTCTAGACCTGCCATCAATCAAGGGGTCCCCAACAGGCAGATGGGCATGAGACTCGTTGCTTTTCTTTTCTCTTTTCCATTTATTATTAACACTATTGTTATTATTATTACTTACTAAACATTCATATTTAAGCAAATTGCTGTTGTTGAGTCTTCTCTTAATTATATTTAACTGAAACCAAAATAACCGCTTGGATACACCCTGTGATCCAAGACATTTTGGCAATGAGGATGGGATTCAGAAAAATATTTAAGAGAAGGGTAAGGCAACCTAATGCTCCAGAGACGTTCCGTATTCCAGGATGGAATGCGGCACACTCTGGATTTGGGTGCATAGCTAACTTGTTAGCACAATTAGGACCCTCGCAAGAATGAGGGACAGTTATAACTGGAAGAGAGAAAGGAGGGTTATTCATACAGGCTGCCGTACATGAGTGCTTGCAGGAAGCAGGCCTCCCCAAAATGCAAGGATAGTGTACTGCAAATGGGATGGATACTGTTAACAGCTTTGCGTTCTACGTGTAGAGAATTGGAAGAGTGCCAGGCCAAAAATAGGCAGCTGAGGCCACATTTGCAGCAGTTGAACAGCGTAACAACACCCTAACAGACAGCACAGGAGAGAACTGAGAATGTGGAGGAAAAACAGAACCGTATAGTTTGCCATCTGGCAACGGTACAACAGAAAAAGAGAGCAAAATGGTGCAACTGGAAAGTTGACCCAGTCAAAGAGCGCACGTTATTAACCTCACAATGGGACCCCGACCATTGGGATGGGGACATTTGGTATGCGTCTGATTCAGAGTATCAATGGTAGACAGAAAAGGTGATGTTCCATCTCCACAGCCATCCTCAGGACAGGGACTCATAGCACACCCCCTAATAACAAATAAGGCAAAAAAGTAGGACAAAACCCACATAATTTGAGAATAGTGAAAGATTACTCGACGTCGAAGTTGCAGGATTTGGAGTGGAGTTTTAAGCAGAAGTTGGTGAACTCTTGGTCTCTTGGCTGATACGGTCATGGGACCAGGGTTCTGCCCATATTATGCAGAGTACCACAGAGCGGGGGAATCTGGGAGCATAAAGTGTTGATCCATATGTGAGAAATGTCTTTAGAAACACAGGGCAAACTGGATCGTTGTAGAATGCACTGACACTAGCAGTAGGACTCAAGTACCTTTCCCCGATAGATTGGGAAGGTGATGTTGAAAAATGGGAGAGCGTACCAGAAGGTATAAAATGTTTGAGGGATTTGGCTACACAAGCGGGTATGTATTCACCACAATTTCAGAGTCCAGACGAGGAAACTCACAGCTGGAATGAGGAACTGGCTAATGCATAGTGGTCCGGGCTGGATGAGAGGTGCCCTGTTAGTCCTATTAGGGCCAACCCAGGGAAAGGCAATGGGACAGGTATGTTTATTGTTAGGACAGTTAGAGGATGTGGAGGCTGGTAAGTGAAGACTGAGAACCATCCAAGCAAATGACAAACAGGGACAACAAAGAGGAGATGGGGTGGGTTTGAAGGTGAAACAAATGATAACCAGAAGGGAATTGTTTGCAGCATTATTAAAAACAGGAATAGACAGGAGTAAGATAGACGGAATACCTACAGATGCCATGTACAATATGTGGAGGATGCACTTCTCTCCAAAGAGTAAGGAAGTAAGAAAGACTATATCAGATGTGGAGGGAGGAAAGGAAGCCACACTGACTGTGTCTCCTACAATATCCCTTTACCCTAGCCTGGAGGAAGTTGGGCAATTGTAGCGAACCAGTCAGGGCCAGGACTCTGGGGTCCGTGTGAGGGTGTTTGATGGGATGACCAGACACCCGAGGCTTCATCACTGTTTATTGGAAGAAAGGCAATGTGCAATAAGTCATTGCATTATTAGACACTGGGGCAGAAGTTACTATTACACATGGCAATCCGGATAAGCATGTAGGACTCAGAACAACCATTAATAGATTTGGTGGGGTGATAACACCGGCAGTTAGAACTAATATTAGAATGGCCTTGGGGAATGGACCCCCACGAGTAGTCCCGGCATTGATATTCAACATAGCAGAAAATATTATTGGTATGGACTTATTAAAAAGTACCACCTTGCAAACCCCACTGGGCAAATTCTCTTTTGGTATACGAGCTGTGATAGTTACTGCTGGCAAGGCAAAATGGGACCCCCTCATTATTCCTCTGCTCATGAGTGGTTTCGATGAAACAGTATCATATTCCGGGAGGACACAAAGAGAATTGGGATACTATATAGGGCCTGTTGGCTGCAGGGATTGTGACACATGCAGTATCTGCGTAGAGTAGCCCTGTACGGCCTGTAAAGAAGCCTGATGGAAGTTGGCGAATGACAGTTGATTACTGCGAACTCGATAAATATGCTCCTCTACTGTCGGTGGCCGTGCTCACTGTAGTCACTGTTATAGAAAGTTTGTCACGGGGCCGGATGCCTGGTACGCTGTTATTGACCTAGCAAATGACTTTTTCTTAATACCGATAAACCCGGAATCACAAACTCAGTTTGCTTTTACGTTGGAAAGTTGCCAATATACCTTCTGTCAGCTACCACAGGATACATACAGCTAAACTTATGCCATGGGCTAGTAGCAAGGGACTTAGATTTGTGCCCGCTGCTACCGGACATTCCCGTAGCACATTATATTGATGACTTCTTGATCCGTGGACCCACGGAAACCGCACTGGCTGAAGCTCTGGCCACACTGCTGCAACATATGCAAGACAGAGGCTGGGAAGTGTACTCAACAAAGATACAGGGGGCAGCACAAAGCTTCAAAATCTCCTCTCCCCCGACAGCATCCCAAAACCAGCCCAGCTTGTCCCCGCCTTCCTAACCTGTCCGTCCTTTCTCCCATCTATCCACTCCTCCTACCTCCTACCTACCAGCCTCATCCCCGCCTCCTTGACTTGTCAGTCTTCCCTGGACTGACCAATCCCCACCATAACTCCCCACCTACACTCACCTTTACTGGCTCCATCCCCGCCTCCTTGACCTGTCTGTCTCCTCTCCACATAACTGCTCCTTTATCCATCTTCCCTCCGCCTCCCCCTCTCTCTCTATTTATTTCAGAATCCCCTTCCCCTCCCCCATTTCTGAAGAAGGGTCCAGACCTGAAACGTCAACTTTCCTGCTTCTCTGATGCTGCTTGGCCTGCTGTGTTCATCCAGCTCTACACTTTGTTATCTCAGATTCTCCAGCATCGGCAGTTCCTACTATCTCAGCACATTCAGTGCAATTTTTACGCATTCAGTGGACAAAAGGGGATAGAGTCATCCCCGAGAAAGTAAACAGTAGTATACAAGAAATGGCTGCTCCAACTAACAAGGCTGAGGCACAGAAATTTATAGGTCTGCTCGGATATTGGCGCAGACATAAAACTCACTTGACCACATTACTTGTACGCTCTTATCTGAAAGAAAGTTCAGTTCGATGGGACGATGAACAGCAGAAAGCACTTATGGCTGCTAAAGAGGCCGTAGCATGAGCACTTCCCCTGGCCCCTTGGATACCTGGCTTACCCTTTTGAATTACAAGTATCAGTGGTACAAGATGATGCCATGTGGAGCTTACAGCAGAGACAAAAAGGGAAAGCAATACTTTTAGGCTTTTGGTCCAGAAAACTAACTAAGGCAGCTACACGTTACACATCATTTGAAAAGCAACTTTTGGTCTGCTGCTGGGCCCTTTATAGAAACTGACGGGCAGACGGGTGAGGACAAAGTTCTCCTCAGACCTGAATTACCAATTCTGATGTGGCT